AAATGTTACCCGCTGGTGTAGTGTAAACACTAGTGACGTCACTGAAGCGTCTGCTATTTACCGGTAACTGGAACTAATGTCGGTGTCGAGTAAAATTTTTCCATTTACTTGAAATGGATTTACCGATTTATTTGTTTATTTATAATATACTGTAACATATTAAACACACTGCAAGTATTTTCTTTAATTTATATGCTTGCTTCACACGAGACGATCGGTGGTGGGAGTGTTCCCTCGTCTCGGTGGTGGGACTGTGTTCCCTCGTCTCGGTGGTGGGACTGTGTTCCCACTGTTTACCGTACTTTTTTTTAGTAAGTTCTTTTTTGTTATATTTTTTACTAAAAGTGTTATTTTATGTGGATAAAAATGTTACAATGGACTTAAAACTATAAAAAATCATCTAAGCATGCTTGAAAACATACATATCGACACCAAGATCACCCAGATTGACCAACTACATCAATTTCTATAAGAAAAATCAACTTTTGAAGGTCAATATGGCGGTCACCTTGAAAAATGGTCGCCATCTTGAATTTTTAAATGGCCAATCAGGCAGACTTGACTAGTAACCATTAGAGAATTACCATGCCAAATTTGGTGCTTGTACCACCATTTTCATGATTCTCTTGAAAAATTGCATTTAGCTGCCCCACTAATGTCACCACTCCCATCTCAACATGACACTCGTATACTGAAATATTGTATTTCATACTACATATGACTTTACAAAAAGAAATGTCCACGTCTGGTTAAATAACTCTTGTAGATATAATACCAGTTGAATAAACGAAACTAAAAAACTGGAGATTGTAATTACAGTGAAGCCTTGACAACTCCATTATGAAGTTAGGGATTAGATGACGCCAAATACAATCACCTAAATGCACTTTAAGAGAGAGGAGTCACCGTGCCAGGGCTTAATATTATCCTGGACCCTAGAGGTTGATGACGTATTCAGTGTCGGGCAGAAATACATCGATGTACACAGCACATGATCCCAATCAACTCCAGTATAGGTGTTAATAATGTAGAGGTGACCAGGTGTGTTGCACGTTGGTAGTGTTGGATGGTGATGCAGGAAAGAGGTAGTGTGTTGAGGGTGGTGTGTGGTTATGACTCACTCCCACAACCCCCCCCACACCACTCACACATCCTCACAACTGTACCACAAAGCCCCCACACTACTCATACAGCATCCTCACAACACTACCACAACCCCCCCACACCACTCACACATCCTCACAACTGTACCACAAAGCCCCCACACTACTCATACAGCATCCTCACAACACTACCACAACCCCCCCACACCACTCACACATCCTCACAACTGTACCACAAAGCCCCCACACTACTCATACAGCATCCTCACAACACTACCACAACCCCCCCACACCACCACACATCCTCACAACTGAACCACACAAAGCCCCACACTACTCTTACAGCATCCTCACAACACTACCACAACCCCCACACCACTCACACATCCTCACAACTGTACCACAAAGCCCCACACTACTCATAACAGATCTTCCTAACACTACCACTGCACAACCCCCCACACCACTTTACAAATCCTCACACCACCACAACCCCCTCCCCACACCACACTCACACATCCTCACAACTGAACCACAAAGCCCCCACACTACTCATACAGCATCCTCATAACACTACCACAACCCCCCACACCACTCACACATCCTCACAACACTACCACAACCCCCCCACACCACTTACACATCCTCACAACTATACCACAAAGCCCCCACACTACTCATACAGCATCCTCACAACACTACCACAACCCCCCCACACCACTCACACATCCTCACAACTGTACCACAAAGCCCCCACACTACTCATACAGCATCCTCACAACACTACCACAACCCCCCCACACCACTCACACATCCTCACAACTGTACCACAAAGCCCCCACACTACTCATACCGCATCCTCCTAACACTACCACTGCACAACCCCCCCACACCACTCACACATCCTCACAACTGAACCACAAAGCCCCCACACTACTCATACCGCATCCTCCTAACACTACCACAACCCCCACACCACTTACAAATCCTCACATCACCACAACCCCCACACCACTCACACATCCTCACAACACTACCACAACCCCCCACACCACATACACATCCTCACAACACTACCACAACCCCCCACACCACTCACACATCCTCACAACACTACCATAATAAAATTAATTATTTCTAGTGTGGTCGACTTCCTACACAAAGACAGGCTATAAATAGCCATCTTATCTCAACCTCCTTCCTTCCCCCTACATCCCTCTGTTCTCAGAGCGGTCTTGGTAAATAACTTTTGTTTGTTTATTTTCATTGTTTGTCTAATTTATCATGTTGTATCAAAGTAATATTACTAAAAGTTTTAGGCAGCTACCAAATGGGGAGATTCTACTGCCTGGGAAGATATTGGAAGCACAATGTACAGTATTGTCTAATGGTAGACCCTACTTCCATATGGCATCACGAAAATTGTGACCAAGTCTTAGGTTGCTGATTTATCTTTCTGTCTCATTTACACACAATTGCAGAGTTTCAATTGTTTCTCTTCCTTTGACAACACAACATACATACAATATAATGTTTCTCACCTTTGATCTTTTTTCCATTTATTTATTGTTGGTTATTTAAAATAATGCCAATTCACTTCAAGTATTGGCATCAAATTATACCGGCTGGTGTACACTAGTGACTCACTTAAGCGGCAGTTATTTAATTGGAACTAATGTTGGTGTGAGTAAAATATTTCCATTTACTTAAAATAGATTTGCCGATTTATTTGTTTATTTATTTATTTATAATATACTGTAATACATTAAACACACTGCAAGTATTTTCTTTAATTTATATACTTGTTTCGCGAAAAAGGGAGGCTAGCATTATAACTGGTAGGTGATCATTAAGGACCAAACTCCGAATCCATGACTCCATGAAGTGACTTCTGTTCATCATTTATATCCTAAATTTACCACTGTCGGTAGTTTCAAGAATTAACGCAGTCATTTCCTGAATATTCTTTGTAAAAAAATAAATTTTAAATTAATTATTTATAGGAGATAAGTATTATGATCAGTAAATATACAGATATGCATTACTGACCACCTCCGAACACAAGGACGGCTAAAAATAGCTACAGGCGGTCACAGTCAAGGTCACTTTCCCTGGTAGGACTTTGTGAGTGGTTTACCATGTTTCCATCACCACTCTTGACACGCAATATTTAAGAGGTAAGAATTTTATACTTGGTGATTAAGACGACCCCCTAACTTTGGGCAGATTTTTTTAATGTTCAAATTCCGTCTTATAAGCCGAGATATACGATATATATATATATATATATATATATATATATATATATATATATATATATATATATATATATATATATATATATATATATATATATATATATATATATATATATATATATATATATATACACACCTGTATATATATATATATACCTGTATATATACATATACATATATACATATACATATATATACATATATACATATATACACATATACATACAGGTGATTAATTTTTACCTCTTGTGCTAAATATATGAAGTTTATATTCAAATTACCTATTTGCTGTCTTGCAAGGATTCCAGCAATGCAAATTATATTCTCCTAACTTTAGTCTGAGATATTATATAAGATAAAAACTGTAAGCCTAAAACCCTGGCTGGGGGAGAGGGAGGGTGAGTAGGGAGGGAGAGAGGGAAGGAGCAGGAGGTCAGGTGATACGTTTGACAGTTGGAGCCGAAGGTCTCATGTGTGTTTATTTAACAGTCCTTAAGTGACTAAGCTTCTCTCATTTTAAAATGCCAGTGAAATGACCTGGGAGAATATAATTTACATTGCTGGGATTCTTATAAGATAGATTAATTTGAATATAAACAAGCTCTAATGTGCACTAGACATAACAATTTTATTACCGTAATCATTTAGTACATGTACAGTACAGGTTTGCACTTAGGTCATTTATTTCTTTTATGTTTCTTTTAGTATGGTGTGTGCATGTAAATGAATGAAAATAAATGAAGAAATTTATGTAAATCTACTCAAAAATACAGTTAAAAAACTTTACATTACAAAAAATGTACTAAGCTAATGTACTAAACCTTTTATCTCGTGCAAAATATATGACATTTATATTCAAATTATTCAGTTTCTTGCAAGGATTCCAGCAATGCAAATTATATTCTCCTAACCTTAGTCTGTGATATTACATAAGATAACAACTTAAAGCCTACTGTATAACCACCAAACCCTTGCTGGGAGGAGGGGGAGAAAGGAGGGAGGGAGGGAAGGGTGACAGTGATATGTTTGACAGTTAGCGCCGAAGGTCTAGTGAAGTATTTATTTGTTATTTATGTCCTTTAGATTGAGTTTTTGTTTTTTGCTAATAAAGTGTCATAGAAGTGACCGGGGAGAAAATAATTTACATTGCTGGAATGCTTATAAGATAGTGATTAATTTTAATGTAAACATGCGATAGTTTGCACTAGACAAAAATTTTAGTTATCATTTTGTACATTATTTTGATTACATGTACAGTACAGCTTTGCCCTTAGGACAGTGTGTGCATGTAAATGAGTTTCAATAAATGAATAAAGTTACATATATCGAGCCAAAAATAAGAGTTGAAAAACTTTATGTAGACAGAGTTTGGATGGCTAAATTTTAGAATGACCAATAATTTTAATATAAAAAATGCACAAATATTAAAGAGCACAATTTTCTTGATATTTACTCCACTGGAAACGAATGTAAACATAGAACAGATTACTGAAATGGTAGACTAGCCCATCAGCTGATGCTCACAAGAAAATGTGTTTGTCGTAAGGAATTCGTTAATCGAAGTTTTGTTTGTTAACCGAATTGAAGATCGTTATGGGAGGTAATTCGTTAACCGAAATTCCGTTAATCGAACTGTTCGTTAACCGAGGGACCACTGTATTTATAAACTATATATTATCTATATAGAGTTCTGTACTGTACTCACCAATGTAAGAATCCTCGTGAGTGACGACACTTGATATGAGGTGTTGTGGATTATCCAACACCTGGTGAAGCATCATCTTTAAGTCTGACTTGGTAGCTGGCTGATTCCTTACTAACCTTCTCCCATTTTCTAAGAATTCCTCTGGCACTCTGGTGGATGATTGGAACAGCTTGCCCAGTGCTTGGTCTATCTCCAACAGCCTCTTGTAATTTTTGTCTTCCTTGGAATATTTAGACAAGTATCTGAAATTAAGGAGCATAATTATTTTTCTGGACCAAAGTAAGGTAAACCCTTGAAGATCCAGACCCTGTAAATCCGGATTTCATTAGATTTGGACAAAAAATTTGGGGGTTCTGGGCTAAGAAGCCTCCCAAAACAGAGCAAAGAACATTTTAGGCCTGTAGGTGCTGCTTGACCCGTCGATTGTGTTGGACACCGGTGCCCTAGGAGGTGGGAAACATAAATAGTTGTCAATTGTTGTTTATGGAAATATTTCATTTAATCTAGTAATGATAAAATGTTTCTTGTATGTTATCATAGGTAAATGCATGGTTTATATAATCTGATTGTCACTGTGCCTGTCACTTTTTTCAAATTAGACTACATGATAGGTATTTCTCCCATACGTATTTCAATTGTATACCTAGCGACAGGTGTGGGTAAGGGGAGTGAGTGAGTGAGTGCTGTCACTGGAGGTGAGCGTCGTCTGCACTCAACTCTCCTCCCTCCCTGCCATATTTCACTGGATTTACTGTTATTACTGTTTACTGATATAATAATGCTTGTCACTGTAACCACCAGGCTACTGGTCCAAGTTGTGAGGTGTTATGGGTGTTTTTCAACTCGTATTTTTGGGTGGATATACGTAACTTTCTTCACTTATTTTTACTAAGTTACATGTACACACCATCCAAAATACATATTGTATTTGGGGGGTTTTGGGTTAAGAAGCCTCCTTAAAAAGCATTCCCAAAACAGAGCAAAGAATATTTTAGACCCGTGGGTGCTGGCTGACTGGTTGAGCGGGTCATAGGTGCCTTAAGGCAGTGAGAAACAAACAGAGTTGACAATTGTTTGTGGGAATATTATTTCATTCACTCTAGTAACGATACAATTTTCTTATTATGTTATCGTATGTAAATGCATGGTTTAAATAATTTGTTTATCGCTGTGTTTGTCACCATTTTCAAATTAGACTAAAAGATATGTACAGTACAGCCTCGAATAACGACGTTAATGTGTCCTCAAATATTGCAGTGTAAGGTGAATCGTCTTAATGCGAATCATAAATTTCCATTAAAAATAAAGCAATAATAATGAGATGTGTTCCCAAGTGTAACCTTTTCATGTCTTTTGTGTGTCAATTTACCATCTTTTCCCCCCAAACAATACAATTAATGAAAATTGCAAAATATACTTTAAATAATGTTTCTGAATGCACCTTATACAATATAAATGAATCATAATATAGTCACACAAGAGGAGATGGGACGCCATTGTTTTCGTTTGTGTTTACAGCCGGGAGTCCGGGACGATAGGTTTTAATTAACGTTATTTAATGTTAATAAATGGAACAATAGAAGTAGCTAGCCACTAATGGCAAAGAAAAAAAAAAAGAGATGGATTGGGAACGCCAACATATACGTGCGCATTTAAGGATACCGCGTCATTTATCTTTTTAAGAAATGTACAAAAGATTCATTATTGTTTATTACTGAATATGTATTTATTGAAGTAATCTTTATATATGAGAAATGAACAATACAATTCATTAATAAAATGCAGAATATTAAAACACACAAGAGGATAAGACATGGCATTGTTGTCAATGTTTACATCCATAATGTCAGTTATCCACTTGAAACTGAAGAAAATAAGACCCTGGTTGTTGTAGTAAAATTAATGTAAAAAATATGTATATTTTAATTAATGTTATTTAATCTACAGTAGAAGTAACCACTGATATGAAAGAAAAAGTGAGACTGATAGTGGAATGCCAATGTATATGTGCGCTCTCAAGGAAACATAGTCATTTATCTTAAGAATATGTACAAAATATTCATTATTGTTTATTACTGAATATGTAATTGATTGAATTAATGTTTATACAGGCAGTCCCCGACTTACGACGGGGTTAAGGACCCATATCCAGGTCGTAAGTCAAAAATGAGAAAATAATACATAGAAAATCTAAAATGGGTGTCTCTTTTTCTTCTCAGCACCACAAAACTCTCACTTTTAAGCTTGCCAGCCATTTTAAAGGGAATTACAAACAAAAATTTTGTCAGTACACAGCGCAATCACTAACGTTGGGACTCAAAAATAAGTAATTTGAAAAAATTTTGGTACGACTGGGGCGGTCGTATGTCCAGGTAGCCGTAAGTCGAGTAGGTCGTAAGTCGAGGAGTACCTGTATACCGTATATCTCGGCCTATAAGACGGAATTTGAACCATAAAAAAATCAGCCCAAAGTTAAGGGGTCGTCTTAAGCACCAGATATAAAATTGTTACCTCTTAAATATTGCAGTTTAGCGTGTCAAGAGTGGTGATGGAAACATCGTAAACCACTCACAAGGTCCTACCACTAATTATTTTATACTGAAACTTACGTTTCGGAAGCCAGATTAAAATGAAGATTACCGGTATATTAAAATAATAAAAATGTATTATAAACCTGTCTAACATACCGTAAAAGAACAATATACCCCGGTAATAAACACAGCTGCTATCATCACCCCCCCCACCCCGTCCCATTTGCCAGTGACAAGAAAGGGAAAGTGACCTTGACTGTGACAGCTTGTGGCTATTTTTAGCCGTCCTTGTGTTCGTCCTTGTGATCGAGGTGGTCAGTAATGCATACCTGTATATTTACTGATCATAATACTTATCTCCTATAAATAATTCATTTAAAATTTATTTTTTTACAAAGAATATTCAGTAAATGACTGCGTTAATTCTTGAAACTACCGACAGTGGTAAATTTAGGATATAAATGATGAACAGAAGTCACGTCATGGATTCGGAGTTTGGTTCTTAATGATCACCATAAATGTCTGGTCAACTTCACCTACCAGATATAATGGTAGCCTCCCTTTTTCGCGAAACAAGTATATAAATAAAAGAAAATACTTGCAGTGTGTTTAATATATTACAGTATATTATAAATAAATAAATAAACAAATAAATCGGAAAATCTATTTCAAGTAAATGGAAATATTTTACTCACACCGACATTAGTTCCAGTTAAATAACAGATGCTTAAGTGAGTCACTAGTGTTTACACTACTGTACATCAGCCGGTAAAATTTGATGCCAATACTTGAAGTGAATTGGCCTTATTCTAAATAACCAACCATGAATAAATGCAAAAAGGAAAAATGATCAAAGGTGAGAAACATTATATTGTATGTATGTTGTGTTGTCAAAGGAAGAGAAACAATTGAAACTCTGCAATTGTGTGTAAATGAGGCAGAAAGATAGATCAGCAACCTAAGACTTGGTCACAGTTTTCGTGATGCCATATGGAAGTAGGATCTACCATTAGACAATACTGTACATTATGCTTCCAATATCTTCCCAGGCGGTAGTATCTCCCTGTTTGGTAGCTGCCTAAAACTTTTAGTAATATTACTTTGATACAACATGATAAATTAGACAAACATTGAAAATAAACAAACAAAAGTTATTTACCAAGACCTTCTCTCTGAGAACAGAGGGTAATAGATGGAGGGGAGATAAGAAGGCTATTTATAGCCGTCTGTCTTTGTGTCGGAAATCAACCGCACTATAAATAATTCATTTAAAATTTAAATTTTTTACATAGAATATTCAGTACATGACTGTGATTATAAAATATTGTGAATATATATATATATATATATATATATATATATATATATATATATATATATATATATATATATATATATATATATATATATATATATATATATATATATATATATATATAGGTTGACAACCCTTTATCCAAAATTCCAGTGGGGCATTTTGTTTGTTTTTTTAACAGGGATTAGCCCACCCGGGCGTAGATCACTGACCCACATCAGGGCCTGGGGGACGAAAATGTAATAGTAATAATAATTATAATAATAATAATTATAATAATAATAATTATTCATAGTAAATAAATTTTTTTATAAAAATACACCAAAATAAAAAAATATGAGAACATTAATACAGGTTGTACCTCTCTAGTCCGGCATTCTGTGGTCCGGAAACTCCCATGGTCCGGAACGATTTTAGTTTGTCCAATAGGTAGATAGGCAGCTTTTTTTTTTTCTTTTTACTTATCTGAATTATTATTATTATTATTACAGGAGTATTAAATTTTTGCCCCTCAGGCCCTAATGTGGGTCAGAGACCTATTCCCGGGTGGGCTAATCCCCTTACAAAAAAAACCCGCGGGTAATTAAGGTTTGTTTACATCCGGCAGTTCGGCTGCTCTCTCTCTCTGCTTGTCTATACAGAGTACAACATTTAACCCTTCAATATATATGAGCAGTAAATAAGTGTTGCTTTCATATTCTTATGTAGAGTAATGACGATATATTTTCACATGTGCGCACTTACATACGAGCAGTCTCACTTTTTTTTTTACCATTAATGGTTAGCCACTTATATTGTTCCATTTATTAACATTAAATAACATTACAGGTACTTCAAGCAACCATATTCATTTTTTACATTAATTTTACTACAGCTAAACTCAGGGTCTTATTTTCTTCAGTTTTATATGTAGAACCAATCAGTCACTGGTTTCGTAAGCTTTAACATAAACAATGCCGGCAGCCGTCTCGTCTCCTCTAATATTCCACGTATTATTAATAAATTGTATTGTTAATTTTGCACACACGTACATTAATTCAATAAAAACAAATTCAGAAACATTAATTAAAATATATATGAACAGTAAATAAGTGTTGCTTTCATATTCTTATGTAAAGTAATGATGATATGTTTTCACGTGTGCGCATGCGCACTTACATATGCGATCTCTCTTTTTTCTTTGCCATTATCGTTAGCTACTTCTATTGTTCCATTTATTAATATTAATAACATTACTTAAAACCACCATATTAATTTTAGTACAGCTACAACCAAGGTCTTATTTTCTTCAGTTTTATATGTAGAACCAGTCAGTCACTGGTTTTGTAATCAACGAATACAATGCTGTGTCATTTCCTCGTGTGTTTTAATATTCTACGTATTATTAATGAATTGT